CTCTGAACTTGCAGCAATTTACCAGCCTCAGCCTCTCAAGTGCTTGGATTAGAAGTGTGTACCACTATGCCTGGTATTAAATTTTATTCTGAGAAAGGGTCTAACCAAGTTGTCCAGACTGGTCTCAAATTTGTGTTCCTCTTGCCTCAGCCTCTCAAGTCACTGGGATTACAGGTTGGCACTTCTGTGCCTCTCTCTGACACCTTCTTAGACAGAAACAGGTCGGTATGCATGGATACCAAAAGATACCCACACTACTGTATCTGCAAGTGAAGATGATGAAGTTGCAAAATACCCACTACAAAATAAAAGCATTATGTATGTATGTTTGTGTACCCTGAGCAAAACTAGACAGAAACATTGGGCACAAGGACTTAGTAGTTTCCCTTCTGTAAGAAGCCTCCTGACCTAGGGAGGGGAGCCCTTTCCTGTCTCTCCACACACTGGGACACACGCTCTGGTCCTCAGAAGCTTGTGCAGGGCACTCTGGGAAAACATGAGCAGAAACACACACCTAGGCTCTCACTCATGTACAGAAATTACTCTCGTGAGCCCCAGAGGCAGAGCAGTGCTTTCCAGCTGTCTGAAAGCGGGGAATTCAGCGTTTTCGGCAGATACTATGGTTGTCACAATTGGGGCAGAGGTACTAGTGCCATCTAGCAAGTAGAGGCCAGAACACTGAGAAATTTTAACCTGTAATGCACAGGAAGGTCCAACACAAGGACACAGATTAGGGCTGAGGGGTGTAGCTCGTGGTAGAGGCCTACCTAGAACGTGCGGGGCTGTGGGTTCAAGCACCAGCGTCTGATAAACAAACGAAACACAAAAACAGAAATCCCCAGCAAAACATGCACACACACACCCCAGCAGAAAAGAAAACGGAGAAAAACTGCACTATAACCTGACCACATTAGTACCTCTGTGGGTGGAGGAGAAATATTCCTCATCTAATTGCTGCGTGCACTCATGTTCCTCAGGATTTCGCAAGGAGCACTGGGCCAGGAAGGTTTGCTCTAAGGTTCAGAAGACTTGCTTTTTTCCTTTTTTTCTTTTTCTTTTTGAGACAGGGTTTCACTATGCAGTTCAGGCTGGGCTTGAACTCACTTCGTAGCTGAGGCTGGCCTTCAACTCACCACAATCCTGCCTCTGCCTCCTGAGTGCTGGGATTACAGGTGTATGCCACCACACCCGGCGAGGACTTGCTTTTCTTTAAGAGAAAAAAGGGGTAGTGGTAGTACCCAGATGGACACACATGTCCATTATTTTGCTATTAAAGACAATGCTGCAGGAAATAACTTTGTACACTTCCCCTGGTCAATGCATTCAAGAAAAACTGAAGAGTAAATTCCTAGCAGAACTGCTAGATTATATGGTATATGTTTTTAAAATTGTGATGTAAGATTTCTTCTTGAGAAAAACAATGTAAAATATGAGATTAGTTAGGTGCTCTATTTAGATGCTTTAATAACTATGTTGATATTCCAGTTGGAAAGAATGTATCTTGTGTGCTGAAATCAATTAAGTTGGCCAGAGGTAGCACCTAGAAGCAGGAAGTTTGTTTTATAACTGTTTTTAGGGCCTGGAATTTAGCTCAGTGGTGCAGCATCTGCCTGGCAAGCGTGAGGTCCTGAGTTTGATTCTCCGTATCCCTCCCCCACCAAAAAGCAAAACAAAACTGTTTTTAACCTTGGAGAAGAAGCCTAATCGTAACTATAGGGGCACCGGGAGTGGTGGTACACACTGTAATCCCAGTATTCCAAAGGCTGAGACAAGAGAATCGCTGCGAATTTAAGGCCAGCCTAAACTGTATAGTGAAACCCTCTTTAAAAAAACAAAAAAACTCCCCCAAAGCTCTCAAAACTATAGGGGCAAAAAGACAGTAAGGTAAACAGTGTTAGTGAGGATGTGGAGAAACGAGAATCCTAATGCATTACTAGTGGAATGTAAAATGGCGCAACCGCTTTGGGAACCAGTTCGGCAGTTCCTCAAGACACTAAACACGCAACAATTAACAAATGATCCAAGTCGGGCATGGTGGCGCGTGCCTGTAATCCCAGCACCAGGCAGGCTGAGGCAGGAGGATCGCTGCGAGTTTGAGACCAGCCTGGGCTACAAAATGAGCTCAAGGCCAGCCTGAACTGCATAGTGAAACCCTGACTCAAAAAAGGACAAAAACAAAACAAAAACAACAACAATGATCCAGCATCACCACTGGATATATATCCAAGAGGCCAAAAATACAGGAACACACAAAAACCTGCACACAAATGATCCCAGCAGCATTATTTAAAGTAGTCAAAAGGCAGAAGAAACAAAAATGTTCACCAACTAGCCAGGTGTGTAGCACATGCCCGTATCCTGCACTCAGAAGGCTGAGGAAGAAGGATCACTGCGAGTTTGAAGCCAGCTTGTGCTACATAGTGAGTCCCTGTCTCAACAAACAAATGAACAAATGAAGGAACAAACAGCATTCACCAATGAACAAACACAATATAGTATTTTCATACAGTGGAATATTAATTATAAAAACAGCAATGTATTGAGAGACGCCATAACATGACTGAATCTTAAAGAAATTCTGCTAAATAAAGCCAGAAGCAAAAGATAAAATACTGTATGATTCCATTTAAATGCAATGTCTAGAAGAGGCAAACTGTAGAAAGCAGATTACTGGCTCTCAAGGTAGGGAAGGAGGGCTTCGAGGAGGGAGGGAGGGAGGGATGCCAGTGGATGGGGGTTGCTTTGGGATGATAAAGTGTTCTGAAAGTAGCAATGGTTGTGCAACGTAATACAAAAAATACCAATGAGGTATATACTTTAATAGATGCATACTATAACATGGATAATATCTCAATAATGCTCTTCTTAAAAGCAGATGTACAAAAAGTACCCGGCCACTGTAGCTACTCATTAAAACTTACACCCTTGCCCTGGGTGGAGCAGTGTGCCCAGCATTCTGGAGGCTGAGTCAGGAGGACTGTGAACTCAAGACCAGCCTGGGCGGCACAGCGAGTTCAAAGCTGGCCTGGTGTGCAGTGAGACTCTGCCTCAATAAATAAATAAATAAATAAATAAATAAATAAATAAATAAAACTAAACCAAAAAGAAACCAAAACCAAACCCAACCCAACCCAACCAAAACAGTAACACCCCCTCTTCCCCAAATATATCTCCCTCTGGAAAGAAACTGAAATTCAGAATAACCTCTACTGTCGTAGAATATTCCACACAGAACTTAATTGTTCTTTGCTTTGCGTTTTTAAAGAAAAGTATGTAATCTAATGGTATTTACTATACTCAAAATGTTGCACATTGGCCAGGCATGGTGGCACATGCTTGTAAGCCCAGTATTCGGGAGGCTGAGGCAGGAGAATCGCCGAGAGTTCAAGGCCAACCTGAGCTACACAGTGAATTGAAGGCTAACACTGCTTTACTCTTAATTTGCACAATCTGTAAATTAATAAATTAACGTATTTATTGAAAAACTACCCATCTGACTCATTTCCAGGCACTCTGGAGAGGAGGGAGGAAGAACAGTTCTCACCCTCCATAACCTCAAATTTGAGGTAAGGAACGTAACAAACTTTCCTAGACAGTGAGCAAAATCATCTCCAGGGGGAAACAGTAGTACTAGATCGCTTTGCCTCAGTATTTAACAGATACAGAAATCATTTGCTTTTCATAGGAAAAAGGGGGCAAAGAAATGAGGAAAAACATTAAATATATATAAAAGTCCCTACAAAACTACAGAGTTAAAACAAGAGTAGTGATGCATACCTGTAATCCCAGCACTCAGTAAGCCGAGGCAGGAGGACTACTGTGAGTTCAGGGCCAGCCTGAACTATGAGAAACACACTACCTCAAAACAAACAAACACACATACACACACACACACAAACCAACGGAAGCAACGTCAAATGGCACAGCTATTCACTGTGAGTGCCAGTAACTAAGAGCAGCATCGGCGTGCCCTAACAACGAGTGCGGCGGCTCCCGCCTACTTCAGACAGGGCCACAGTGTTGAGTGCACAGGCCTGCAGTCAAAACGGTAAATATCGTCAGACACAGGACAGGTCCTGCCACACCCAGGCGGAACCACGGCTGCCTACAAAGCACGTGTCACACCGTGAGAATCTATTTCTGAATACTACATCTAGTTACTACAGCACTTAACACTCCTGGTAATTCTATAATGGTGACAAATGAAAAGTCACAGGACAAACAAGAGGACAGTGTGGCACAGTCGCTGGTTAGGAGCCCGGCTCTAAGTCAGACACGTCTGGTTTGGGAGATATCAGCTCTGTGACTTGAGCATGTGACTTCACTCCTTTCAGTCTGTTTCCACGTCTGTAAAATGCAACACAACTACACAGCAGAGGGATGCAAGAGGAACTTTCAAGAATGAAATCAGATTGCTTGAGGGTTTACTACATACCCTCAAAATTGGTTGGCTGGCATTGTGAAGACTGGGAACTCACAAAGCTCTAACGAGGTTACCTCCCCATCCCCTTTGCCTTCCTCCCCTTGCAAAGGCCTCTGGGCCTATCGGTGGCCGGAACAGACTGGAGTTGACAGGCAGGCAATAAACCCTTGCCAAATGTGCAATGAAGTAGGATACAGGTACACAGCAGACCTGTAAAACTGTGTACAAAACCACAGCTAGGAAGCTTTCCCAAGCGTACCTGGAGCCTGGCTATCTGCTAAGTGCAAGAGTTTGTGGGAAATTACATCTGACAGTACGCTGACCTCAAACCTCACTGTCTACACTGTCCTGAAAATTTACACTGGGTCTAAATAGGTTTTTGCTTACCATTTAGGGATTGAACAGCATCAGAGGAGGTTCAAATAAACAAACTAAAACTGGTCAAAAAAGAATAGCCACATTTCAGAAAGAAAATATACCACTGGTGAGCTTTTTTCTGCGATAAGGCTAGTATGTTCTGAAAAGGAGGCGCAGTGAATTAAGACATTGACATTTATAGCCGTAGCTCAGCGCTTACTCTTGGAGGCCCAATTACCATCCCTGTCCATCTTGTAAGTGTCATGTCTTCGTCATCTTCTAGACCCCAGCTAACTGTGCCATCTCCTACTCCTTTCTGGCCTTCTTCGAGTTCTTCCAACAGTCGGAAATTGCGAGGGACTTTTACTCCTAAAATAAATGGAAAGAAATTCAAGATACTAGCAACTCCAGGGGAACTTGTAAAGCTAGAGCTAGCTCAGTATTGCTAATTGGGAATACAGATGCCAACATGCAGATAATTCCTGACAGCTGTCGTACCTCAACTGTGCCACCTACAAGCCTACCAGTGTCCGCCAACACAGGGAGAGGGAAGCAGCACACGGTCTGTGAGCGGGGAAGTGATCAGGGCTAGGTCACCAACCACAGGCTCCCCCACAGCCCTCTGAGCGACTCTGTGTTTACATCCTCAAATGATTCCTCTGGGTCCACTAATGTGCGATGAAGCCACCAATTCCAAGTGCCAACCTAGGCGTCCTAGAAGTGGAGGGCTGTTTCTCTTGTTCTGTTCCTATTACACACTTCTGAGGCTCAGGGCATGCTCCCTTGTTGGTGTGACTCACCCTTAGGAGGGAGGAACAGCCACCACAGCTATGTTATATAAAAGCCTAGGAACCGAGGCCTCTGGGGCCAAGGTGTGGGAAGGCAGGACAGGGACTTTCTTTCTCCCAACCAATGCTGCTGTTCTTTGCTTCCTCCTCGATTCACCCTGGCACCTGTGCTTGTTCCCGGAAGAAATCTGGGATCTAGACAAGCCACACTCTCTGCCTGAAATGCGGAGCCCCTAGGTGGCCAGACACTCAGAGCAAGCAGGGCTTGCCATTTGACTCTGAGCAGGGGCTCCGCAGAGGGACCCAAGTCCAGGGGAGGTTTCCCCAGTGCAAGTTTTTCCCAGAGCACAGGACACACGTCAGCATTAACACACCTGGAACAAATGTTGACTCCTACTACATGTCAGGCACTTTTTTAAGCACTGGGAATCAAGCAAAAAAAAGAAGTGCCTGCCTTCGTAGGGCTACACTCCAGTGGCAGGTATGTAACTTACAAAATACCCGAACTACCTATATGACAGTTTGTGGTGTCAGGCGCAGGTTATGAGGGAGGGGTCACAATGTTAAATAGTGACCAAGGCAAGAGTTCCAGGGGGCAGGTGTCAGGACTGAAGACCTGAGATGGGATGGGACCTTGCTTAGTGTCAGTGACAGCAATGGTCTCAACTTAGTGAAAGCTGTGAGGACGATGAAAGAGCAGGACATCAAGGGCTCCAACAGTTCCTGATACGAGAAGCTACAGAACCTGAACAGAGGAAGTCAGTTAATGGGATCCCTCTGACTGCTTGGTGTGGAATGCGAGGTCAAGGGAACAAAGGCATCTGGGAGGTGACAGGGAAGGGACTGAGAAGTATTTTAGAGGCTGAGCTGACAGGATCTGATGTGGCCTTTGAATTTGAGAGAAAGAACTGAACTACAGCACCCAGCGTTTTGGTCTAAGAAAAAGGACAAAGGCATTCACGGTACACTGTATGACTTTTTTTTTTTTTTTTTTTTTTTTTTTTTAAGACAAGGTCTCACTATGTAACTCAGATTGGCTTTGAACTCACTACATAGTCCAGGCTTGCCTTGAATTTGCAGGAATTCTCCTGCCTCGGCCTCGCAAGTTCTGGGATTATGGGCGTGTGACACCATGCCCAGCATTATAAGACTTTAGGTAGCATGTGATCAAATGTTTCATCTTACAAGTAATGTATTTATTTTTAAGAATAACTTATTTAGGTGAGGAATGCTGGCACATGTCTATAATCCCAGCACTTTGGAAAACTGAGGCAAGAGGACCACAAGTTTGAGTCTAACCTACGCAATTTAGCAAACCCTGTCTCAAAAACATAAAATGGGTTGGGGATATAACATTGTGTGAGGATTTCTGGGCTCAATTCCAAGTGTAGTAAACAAATGAAAAACTTGTTTAGAGAAAAAAAAAAAAAAAAGAAAAACTTGTTTAGGCTAGGCATGCTAATACATGCCTGCCATCCCAGCACTTGGAAGGCTGAAGCAGGAGGACTGTAAATTTGAGGCCAGCCAGGGTTACATAGCAAGTTTCTACACAGCATGACCCTGCCTCAAAGTAAACAAAAAATACCGATTTAAGACTAGGGTTTTAGCTCAGTGGTAGGATGCTTGTCTAGGATGCACAAGGCCCTAGGTTTGAACTCCAAGACCACCAAAAACAAACAATACACACACACACATCTTAGGGCAAGTGATAGTCTAACCTACCATTTATGATAATGGTAAATATTTCCTTTTAAAATAAATGTAAGCAAAATAGTTGACTGAAAAAATATAATAGTACAATATGGTGCTCCAAAGAAATCAACAAAAACCTAAAAACATACCTAAATTGCTGGTCTGGAAAACACTGTCAGTTTTCATCTAAAGCATAGGCAGCTGGGCTGCTCAGCTACACTCGATTAGTCTCTCTGAGCAAAAGAAAACTGAAATTTAAATCTTTAATAGTCCTAATTTGGCTAGGAAAAAAAATCATTGTGTAGTATGCCTGCTGCTACTACGGGTTAATTTGTAAGTCTGCACCAATGAAAATGAAAGCCGGAAGAGCAGCCACATTGGGAAGAAACTGGTGAACAGCTGAGGCACTTGTTCGTGTACCCTAGAATGCAGGGCCGGCGGCCGGGCACGGCTCGGTGGTAGAGCACTGGCCTCCAGAGCCCAAGACAGCACCCCCCACACACACACACACGAAGATAGTGCTATGATATGTGTTAGAAATATGTTTCCTCTAATGCACAGGGTGGAGCTCTAATTCTCAGTACCTCAGAATGTGATGGTATATGGGCTATAAATAGATGCTCAGTTAAAATGAGGGTCTCTTTTTGGTGGGGGAAGGTAGGGTTCCCTATCCAATCTGACTGATGTCCTTAAAGAAGGAAGATACAAAAAACACCAGTGCCATGATGTGGTGGCAGACAACTATAATCCCGCCTACTTGGGAGGTTGAGGCAGGAGGACTGCAAGTTTGAGTCCAGCCTTGGCAACTTAGTAAGACCTTACCCTGACATAAAAAGGGATGGGGACGTGGTAAAGCGCCCCTGGGTTCAATCCCCAGCGCGCGTGCACACACACACACACACACACACACACACACACACTACATAAAATGGAACAAAGGAAGTCACTTCAATGTACTGTGGGTTAGAAACAGTAACAGAATCACAGAGGAATAAGTCAGCCCTGTTGTCCCTACGATACTGGCACTACAGGACATTTTCTCTTTTTCTTTTTCACAGGGCTAGGTATCAACCCCAGAACTTCATGCATGCCAGGCAACTGCTCTATCACTGAGCTCCAGCTCCAGCCTGGACAACTCACTTTTTCAAAAATTAAAACAATGATCTCAAAAAGCCTTTATTTATATGGGCTATGTCTACTGACTTTGCCACATTAGAAATTAAAACAATTTTAAAAAAACCTCAGAACTTAAAAAGAGTTTAATCACTTAAAACAACAAAACGTATGTTAAAGAATGTATCTTACAAAATAGCTGTATTTCCCAAAGAACACAAGAGAATTAGTGAGAAGAATGGAATCACTCTGTAACTTTTACTTCACTGACTCTGAACAACAGGGAGCACGAAGAACTGAGGTGGGCGGGAGTGTCCTGGCAGTCCCTCTGCTCCTGACCGAAGACCGAGGTCTGTGGGCCAGACTTGGATCATGGACCTCCGCTCTGCAACATCTGCACTTACAGTCACCCAACTGTGCTCAAATCTTCCTTTGAGCAGAGCTAGGGGTGTAGCTTTGTGGCACACCACTTGCCTAGCATGCTTGAGGCCCTGAGTTTGATCCCCAACACCAGGAAACAAAATGTTTTGAATTCACAGATCCCACATTTAGCTCAGACTGTTTTTTGTGGTACTGGGATTGAACCCAGGGCCTTCACAGTCAGCTACATACCGAGTCTTTTATTAATTTTTGAGGCAGAGTCTTACTAAATTGTCAAACTGCCCAGGCTGGGCTCAAACTTTCAGTCTTCCTGTCTCAGCCTCTCACAGTGCTGGGATTACAGGTGTGCATCTCCAAATCCTTCAGTTTATAAGAAAGGTAAGTAAAGACTATTTTGTTTGTTTATTTGTACCACGAATCAAACTGAGGGCCTCACGCTTGCCAGGCAGGTGCTGCGCTGCCAAGCTACACCCCCAGCCCAGCAGAGGTTGTTAAATCGTGGCATTGAGCAGTTTAGTTCTCTGTTAACCTTTACTTAGCTAAATCTTAAAGAATTTAAGTCTACAAATGAGAACACTCCTAAAGTAGATGTAATTTTAAATTCATTTTTTCTAAGCCATAAATTTTAATTTTCAGTCAAAAACTGATTAAAAACAAGGCTTGAAGAATAGTAGGACCTAGTGGGAATCAAAAATTACAAAATTTACAAATTATGGGGAGGCTCACTTTGTGTTCCTGAGGCCTTACTGGAAGTGGCTACTCCTCATCTGGTCAGCAGCTCACCGAGCGTCCTGTGCTCAGAACACCATGTTCTCGGGAAGAGACCACAAGGGGCTCCTCAGGTTCAGTGGACATCAAACTGGACTCAATCTACATTTACAGTCAAGGCACCTACTCCCTTCTGGACTGCGGACTCTTCACCTGCTTGGCAAAATTTCCGTTTATAAAACTATACATGCACACATCCTGCACTATCCCACACTCTCCCAGCACTATGCCGGGCCATACAGGAACTATCAAAGAACAAGAGCAGGGATTTCCTGTCACAATATCAAGTCTCCATGTAGAAACAAGATATACATATCCAGAGTTAAAAGTTCTGTGAAGACACAAGGCAGAAATACAACCTATCACAGAGCAGCGCTCCGTAACTTTTGAGGGTCACGTAAACAGGCGCCCTGAAGAGGCTGGGCCACGTGGCTAAATTACTGGACTTTGAGAATGATCAGTGGGGAGCTAGCTGCACATGGCTCTGGGCTGGACCAGAGCAAAGGCAAACCAAGTCCCCTGGGGGATGGGTGGGGCTCACTGGAAGGCTAGGGGCTAGCTTCAGGACACTGTGGAGGACAAAAGGCAGAAGCATTTGCTCACATCAAATCATCTGTCATCAGAGGT